CTACTCCTGCGGTAAAACTCCCCTGTGGCCCAGTCGGACGATGTGGCAATAAGCTTTACTTTTTTTACTGAATAAATTCCTAGCTTTCCAAAAGCAATAAAATATAAAACAAAATGTAACCAAGTCAAGTTATTTTTTATGGAAAAGGTGGTTATCGAACTGAGAAGGTGATTCCTAATCGAAAGAAAGAAGAGGTTTTCAGAATAACTTTTGGTAAAGGAAACTTTTTATTTCAACCAAGCACCAAATATAAACTTATATATATAAACTTATAAACTTAATTTAAACGGCACGTGGTGTTTAAAATAAATCTACCATTTTTGTCGACAAACAGCGGTACAAAACTTCAAAACTCTGTAATGTCCACATTCTATACGGAGTTACCTGAGTAAAGTTCTTTGCTATTTCTATCCTCCTGTGCGATTTTGTAAGACCACCTGTTTGAATTGTTACGATCGATCACATAATGTACCGCAACGAAATTCTCTACATCTACTACTACACTACCCACATATTGTGAAAAAAACTTGACTTTTATTACTATCTTAAATCACAATTTCTTCGTAAAAATTTAGTAATATACCTACCTACCTCTACCTCTACTATCAATTGTTAATTGGTAAAATAAGTATTGACCTTAGAGACTCGTGTGCTAACAATAGAGCTACCATATTTTTAGAAAAAAGGAAATGTTATAATTGTTATAAAACTTTTCTAGTGTTTGTCCAATTGTTTTATTTCTAGGATTTTATTTACCAAACTAGTACTTTTAAAGCATTTGTATCAATATTTGATTTGCCAAAAATGGCAAGTATAAAATCCGGAAATTCTATCACCAAGACATCACTGTCGATACAGAGTTACCAAAATGAAGTTCTTCGCCGTAATTATTCTTTTCTGCGGCATTGTAGGGTTAATAGCACCCGCAGAAGGCTCGTCCGCCACTGTGACATGGGAGACTCCCACTACCACTACCTCTACTCCTCCGGTAGAACTCCCCTGTGGCCCAGCCGGACCCTGCGGACAAGCCCCTCCCCCACCCTGTGCCGGTGGAATTGCTAGCGGCAAGAAACTTTACTTCTTCTACTAAATAAATTTCAAGATACCCAGGATTAATAAAATAATAAAGAATAATAATAATAAAATAGTTTACTGCCTTATTCAAAAGTGACAACAAAACCCTAACAGATAAATTTCACAACATAATACATCCTAAAAGAAATAATAGTTTTACTAAACCAATTAGTCTCTTGCTCAGTTACTTAAACGATTGGAGTTTTAAAAATCAAAAAACATTATCACTGGTTAACATTTAGTTCACCTAATTTAGTATTTGCGAAGATATTAACATCGCAGTTGATGAGAAAATGATTTCAAGAGGCTTTCAGAACAAATTACGTGTAGCATACTATCTTAGTTCAAACACCTGACGGGCGTTGTAGGCTTGATTTAGGCGGCGCGTGACACTACAAATAGATCTGCCATATTTGTTGACAAACAGCGGAAAATACTTTTTTGATAAATACAATATAAAACTTTTATTTAACATTTGGGGTAACAGTTGTTATAACCAAATAAGGGGTATACGACTGCGAAATGTCAATAAAGGTATCCCTATTTTTAAAGGTATAAAAGTGTAATATTTTAGATGCGAACTATTAATTTTAGTTAATAAAATATACTTCTGCTCCTAAGTGATTTTGCTCTAGCTGTTATTGCAGAAACGCTAACCACAACGGAAAATGCAACTGATGCATCGTAAACAACTACTAAAGAGCTCCCATATGGAGGAGATATCGGAGGACCTGGCGCCAAAAAATTGTACTTCTTTTATTAATCGAGGAATAAATATCTTGAAGTGAAAATACAAGGAATTCTTTGAGAATATCCTATCCCCCCTTGGACATCCATTATTACAACTAGCATGCTGATTTAGATTATTATTCCAACAAACACTCAACTTATGGAGTTTTAGGAAGCCAGTCCTTCATCACATTCCACAAGGGAGTGCGACATTGCAATGGTGCCCATATAGAGTAAGTTCGCCTCGCTGAGGCTTCCCTTATATGGAAATAAACTTTTCGAATCGGGCCAAAAACGGCAGCTACGTGAGGCGCCACTTGCATCGCTGGGGAATTGCATGAATCAGCGTCGCCGAGCGACGCCAATGAAATGCTAAATAAATTTTCACTTCCACTTTAATTAATTTGAATTTATTTGAAACTAAAATTACACCCAACATTTACACGGCGAAGGCGCAAGTGAGCAAAATTGGCCCGCCCGTTTGACTAAAAATAAATTCACAAATATTTTGTTTTTATGAAAAGGTAATGAAAACCACATGTCCTCCATTTTCGTCGTACATAAGTATATTGTAAAATATAAACCAGCAATGGAAAATCGTGTGGGTGAAATGCAACGATCGGCGATCAGATAAGGGCCACCCCTGCCCCAATAATGGACTCACTTTTCGGGACGCCATATCGATGGGCTTTGCTGTTGAATGATCTCAGGTCGTAATACTTCAGTGGGTGATTAATACTGATCACTTGATTGCCCGCTAATTACACAATTCCTGGCGGGGCAAGCACGTTTCTTTTTTTGGTTTTTCAAAAACACAACACTAACAAACTGGTGAGCCTTCTTTTTTTCGTAAACAAATTTCAGAATTTTTTTCGTTTTGAAAATATTTGCACGAGCTGCGCGCGTTGCTTTCGGTTTCTTTGGTACCTGTACTCGTACTGGCCGCGACAATTTCTCAACTCGACTGAGTTGTGTGCGCCTCCTTGCTCTAAGTTTTATGCAGCCAAATGCTCGCCGCTTATTCTCAATTTCTTTATTATTATTTTCTCAGATAAATCATACAGCTGAGGATGGTCATATAGAACCGAAGATCCCCTTGAACAACTCCTCTCAGAACTTGAAGTAAAAGAACTAAATTGTAAATGTATTACGTATATGATTTTAAGTCGTTGTTGGTTCTTTGGTTTCTTAGGTTTGCCTTATAATATTTCCCTAAAGCCATGATTAAAGTACAATAACTCCCAAAAAGGTGAACTGGTTTTAAAACAAGATAGTTTGAAAAATCTTTGGGGTCCCTTATAAATCTTTAAAAAAATCAAAAAACTTTATCTTATATTAGTCATAAATATTATTATGAAGGTACTTAAGTTAAAAATATTAACCTATAATAATAATAACACCTTTTTTCAAATGCAATATGTTAATATTTTATAAAAATGGTATGACCTTATACTAAAACCTCATATATGAAGATGATAAATGACCATCCTCGACTGTGAAACATCTTCAATACATAATTTGTTCAATATTTATTTCGCTTCATGTTTTGTGTTGTGTTTTTGGTATTGCAAGTGACGTTGACTGGACGTCGACGACGACGCCGAAGTCGACTGCACTCTTGACTCTGTTTGGCAAGTTTTTGGCGACGCTGCTATAAGGTCCCCCGATCCGATCCCGAAAACCCCCTGTAACTCATCGCCAATGTGATTTTCGACGCGCAGCTGATTTTGTTGTCATTCTATTCATAGAACTGGTTGTGGTCTTTTGTGTGTTATTTTTTGCAATACTCTCTGTTGCTGGCCACAATTGAAAGTGCCTCCTGCGAAAATGATTCGTTTTTGGCCATCGCTGGCGGTCGCCCCAAGTGCATTCCGCGTTCCGTGTTCCCCCGCCAGTTGACTCACGATTCGCAAATAAAATATGCTAAATCGGGGGATAGAACCCATAAAACTCTTAAATCAAAAGCATATGTACGTATATTATATGTTTGTGCGGCTTGTTTAGTCTTTCGGGATGACTAACTCGCTCCGGCCAAATCAGCTGTCATAAATTCCTTAAATTTATTTAGCTTGGGGCGATATGTTTATGTATGTTTCTAGATAAAACTCAGCGAAAGCACGCTAAATATATCGTAAATTTTATTATGATTATATGATTTCATAGCTCTAATGATGCCATAAAATCTAGAGTTAGGTATTTAAGAAATGTTTGGTGATTTTCTTTAATATTTTATTGGAATCGAAATCTTCTAACCTTTTTTTAAAAATACTCCAAGTGCTGAACGATCAATAAAAAAAATTATTTTAGTGATTGTTATTAAATTAATGTTAACCACAACTACATTTTTGTATCACACCACATTTTCAAAAAATAATATTTTTAAAAAAGCACAAAAAATATTTCTGTTGTAATCATATATTTATAAGGGTACACAGTCTCGTGACTAATGACAACAAAAAATTATTGTTTTGATAAGAACGTGTTTTTTTAAAAGTTGTGTTGTGATAAATTTAAATTATGCCGAAGTTGTAGTCATTGCAAACAGAAAAACCAGTTTTGTTTATCTTAACAACAAAAATATATAGTTCCGACAGACTTAACTTGATAGGCTTATTGTTCTTATAAGTACACTAGTTTTAGTGCCTCATTCATCAAAAATCTCTAGTGAAATTCCCCTAATTTAACTAAACAATGACTATGACGCGAAGCGCGTGTACTTTTAAACAAATTTTATTTGTATTGGTTATCATTATTCATGGTACTTGAGTTTATCCAACAGCTGCTTCGGTTGTTAATATTTTTTGTTGCGCATACGCCCCATTGCCGACAAGTAATTTCACGTGCCAATGCTCTTTCTAAGATATTCTCTCCGAAAATAAATGAAATACAATTAACAACAGAACAGCGTGGATCCGAAGAGAAATTAGCATAAAAATATATTGGATAACATTTGTATAGGTGTTTCCATATTTTCTAAATTTTAAAAGAACTTGACACGCAACAGCTGTCGATAAATTTCGCAATATAATATTAAAAATAAATATTTGCCAGAGAATGATGGCATTTAAATAAATATACTATTAGAGCAACTGTTTTTTATAAAAGTTTTTTTAACAATTGAAAGCAAATAAGGGGCAAAGTATAAATTTGACAAATTGGTATCAAATATTTATCAGTTTGTGTTGAAATCTGCAGAGATGAGGTTCCTAACGATCATTGCAATTATATGTGCTCTGGCAGTCCGCGTTCTTTGCGAAGGCCAAGCAACGACATCATCTGGATATTATTGGGATCCGAATTCTTCCTTTTCAACTACTTCGTATCCTTACTGGGCGGATACTACTACACCTGTACCCAACACTTTGTCACCGCCATGTGATGAACAGATCCAAGGACCTTGTGGCAAGCTTCCCAAGGGTGCCCAGAAGATGTACTTCTTCTATTGAAATCGCTCAAAATTTGTCACCCCACCTTGAATAAATGATTTGGAAAAACTAATTGCCCACTCCCCTTAAGTAATCCCCGAAAATAACGCAGGTGCGCCAGAGCCTATCGAAGCTATATAAAGATCAGAGGCGGGGTTAACATCTGGCGCCCGACAGATAAATGCACTTCACGTTCTCACAGCTAAACATTTAATGGCTCTTTCGCTGGGATCCAGCAAAAAGAGACCTTTCATCGCCGGCATATATCACAAAATGGCAACGCCTTGCACGCAATATTTCACCCAGAAATTCACATAACATGAAATATTCCGAATCTATTATATTTTCGCATATGTATATAATATTTTCTTTAATGTGTAGTGGGCCGTACACTTTTGGCCGTATTATTCATCACTCATTGTAGATATGTCGTAAATATTTCACCGCGCATTTGCCTTTATTGGAGACATTATTTCACATACTTTGGCATTTTCACTTGTTTTCTAACAATTTCCCCCCGACAATGCACAAGTTGCGAAATTTCACTTGCTATATTTTCGTGTATATATAGAAATATGGGCGACACACGCGTCTACATATAGTTCACGGATTGCGTATACGCCGCGTATTCCAAAAGAAATTTCGAGACTCGCACCGCACACGTCCAAGTCAATGCAGCAACTGAAAATCTTTTCGAAAATGCCAAGATACAACCCACAACTGAGTGTTTTTCCCGCTTTTCATTTTTTTTTTGTTTGTAGCTGAATGGCGAGCGCCGAAAGAAATATTTTCAGAATTTCCATGCGCCGTGAGCGATTTCTTTCGACATCTTTCTCACATCTGAAAAAACATGACTAAGACCACGGCTGTCTGAGTCTACCTGCCTTCAATTAGATCAGCGATACACGTGTGGCCAGTGGGACACTTTTGTGTCTCCGGCATAAATCACAAATCAGAAAGCCTATAGATGCGGTGGGATGAATCAGTCGGACATTCCGGCAGTCTGTCTGCACAGCCTGCTGGCCGAGGGCCAAGAATTTCTTTTGCCTCCAGCAGCATCCAAATTACCCACAGTCTGTAATCAGTAAAGAATATCATATCATTTTAGTCAAGCAAGTATGGTTTTTAGGGGCAAAGTTTAGAAAATTGGTAAGTATTCCCAGAATTGTTAAGGTTTTATGGGAGCAATATACATATACCATTTATATTTTCCTAGAAATTTTTGACAGCGTTTATTTAGTATTCTTAGACAAATGAGCGCCCATTATGTTAGATAGATAAAATGTGAGTTTCGATTTATAAAAATGGTTGTTTGACTGTACCAGCAACTATAATATTAGTATCTTATGCCAGGCTACAAAACATTTTACGTATTTCATTCGAACATTTAGTGTATTTCTTTGAAAATGAAATATTAATAATATTTAAATACATAGTTAATATAGGAGACCATTGTAAGCACACTTTTAATTTTAATATCCGAACACTCTGGTGCTGTCATAAAACATTGTCTATTTTTTAGGACAGACATTTTCTGAGAGTGTTTAGAAGTATTTATTCAGCCATTTATTGTCTGCTGATTGACCTGCGTACACCTGCCATTTCCGCTCATCGTTTGCCGCAACCAGTCGTAGTAGTACATAACATCCATGAATACATCCGGAACCCCCTGGGCACAGGGTACGAAAAAGTTGAGTATACCCACGAGGGTGCCCTGGTGAACCAGGGGTCCTCCAGAGTCCCCATGGCAGGCTCCAATGTTGGACTGCCGGTAGGCACAAAGGTGGCAGGGACCCAGTTCCAGATCATCGTAGCCGAAGAGCAGGGATGAGCAGGCCAGGCTGCTAAGATGCTGCTGCTGGACTCGCTGCAACTGGGAGGGCAGACTCCCCGCCGCTGACTGGGATCCCCAGCCAGTGAAGACCAGATCAGAAGTTCCTCGAGGAAAGGAGGAGGTTGGAAGCTTAACCGCCTGAGTCAGTGCATTAAAAACCACACTTTGGTTTAATTTGAGCAGGCCTATGTCATTATAATACTTGGGACTATCGTAGTTGCAGTGCAGGTAGATAGCTTCCGGATAATACAGCGCCCCTGGTTGCGCATAGCGAACTGTTCCAGTGGCCACTTGGAGTCTGCTGGCTGGATAGCCCTTGACACAATGACCCGCAGTTAGGATCCAGCGATCCGAAATGATGGCGCCACCGCACAAGTGACTGCCCAAAAGTGTTTGCAGCGACACCTGGTATGGGGCATCTCCCTCCGCCGCATTCTGTCCACCCACTATAAAGTGCTCCGCCGCCAAGAGATCTTGAAAAAGTATACCACACAGGAAAATATCGAGAAGGCACCGTGCAAACGCCATGGCTGAAATGCAATCGCAGACTGAACTAGTTTGGTTTTACCCTTTGCGATTTTGATTGACTTGGCCAAAGGTTCCAACAATCGAAACGAGCCATAAACTGATTTTTATCTGGTTCCGATAAATGGTCAAGAAAGGCAGTTCTTCGGTTTACTTAGTTTGGAACTTTATTAGCTGACCAGGCCCGGAACCAAGATGTCGGCAGTGGGTTTGCTTATAATACTAGGACTTGCAGGATTTTCCTCCATCTCAGCCATACGAATCAAAGGAAACTCCACTGCAGCCGGGGTTTTCAAGGATCAACGGATCATTGGAGGGCAGGTGGCTGAAGAGGGATTCGCTCCCTATCAGATATCCCTTCAGGGAATCTCCGGAGCCCATTCCTGTGGTGGTGCCATAATAGCCGAGAAATTCGTCCTTACAGCCGCCCACTGTGTGGTAAATGCCAATATTCAATGGCTAGTGGTAGTTACAGGTACCAATAAGTACAACCAACCGGGAGGAAGATATTTCCTAGAAGCCGTCCATATCCACTGCAACTACGATAATCCCTCGATGCACAATGATATCGCCATGTTGCAATTAATAGAGCCAATTGTGTGGAACGAACGCACCCAACCGATTCCCTTGCCCAAGGTGCCCATGCAGCCGGGTGACGAGGTGATCCTCACCGGTTGGGGATCCACGGTGCTCTGGGGCAGCAGTCCCATCGATCTGCAGGTTGTATACCTTCAATACGTTCCGCACCAGGAGTGCCTGGAGTTGCTGAGCTACGATCCGGACTGCGATGTGGGCCACATCTGCACCTTTTCGCGCCAGGGAGAGGGAGCCTGCCATGGAGACTCCGGTGGTCCCCTGGTCAGCAATGGCTACCTAGTGGGACTGGTCAACTGGGGATGGCCCTGCGCAACTGGTCTTCCGGTAAGTTATCTTCATTATTTTTACTCTTCTAGCCTTTAAACATAACTTGATATATTATCAAGATCGAAATTCCATATTCTTGGAAGTATAGTCACTCGAAGTAATCTTATTTTTTAGAATTTCTTAAGTAGTAAAATAATCTAATGATGATTCAGCAGAATTGTATAATTCCGAACACCTACAATTATTAACTAACAGAAAAATAAAACTTATAATGATTAGAGAAAGGGCAAACTACAAATACCATAGTTTCTTTCCACCTAAACCTATACATTCTTTTCAGGACGTCCATGCTGGTATATCATATTATTACGATTGGATACGCAAGGTTATGAGTGGCAATACGAAATGCACTGGCTTCAGCTCTACGGAGGCCTAAAGTTTCCATAAAGTCCATAAAATTGCCCAGTTTATAAGGCCACGATAAATTGACTCTCGATAAGACCGGGCTAGTTAATAATAAAGTTCTGATAGCGATCAAGTTGACTTTTAGTGTTCAGAACGTGGCCAAACCTTCGAGATGCAACTGCTTTGCCTAAGCCTTTTCCTCCTCCTGCTTCTGCAGCCCCCGAATTTCTGCCAATCGAAGCGCTTGTTTGGACCACATTCCACGGGTTCATCGGGTAGGATTAAGGGTGGCGAGGAGGCTGAGATTGGATTTGCTCCATATCAGGTTTCCCTGCAACGCACAGTGGGTTCCCATAACTGTGGTGGTGCCATACTTAACGAAAAATGGATCATCACCGCCGGTCACTGTGTGGAGAACTTTACTCCCGCCCTGGTCAACGTGATCACGGGCACGAATAAATGGGCAGAGCCGGGAGGCATCTACTACACCGAAGAGATCCACATGCACTGTATGTACGATCAGCCCTATATGCATAACGACATCGCCCTGGTGAAGCTCACCCAGAATATTACCTTTAACGAGCTGACCCAACCCATCGATCTGCCCAATAGACCGGTGCGTTCCGGCGACGAGATCGTCCTAACGGGTTGGGGCGCCGAGGAGGCCTACGGTGGATCGGTAGAGAACTTGCAGAAGTTGACCCTGGGCTTTGTTCCTCTGGACGAGTGCTACGATATCTTTAACCAAACCAGCAGCATGGGTGTGGGTCACATCTGCACCTTTTCGCGTGAGGGCGAGGGATCTTGTCACGGCGATTCCGGTGGTCCGCTGGTCAGCAATGGCTACCTGGTCGGCGTGGTCAACTGGGGAAGACCCTGCGGTGTGGGATTTCCCGATGTACAGGCCAATGTGTACTACTACTTGGACTGGGTTCGCGGTAAGATCAGCGGCAACGACAGGTGCTACTACTAAATGATTTACTGCTTAGAAAAACGATCAATTTGCTGAAATGGTTCATTTTCATTAAACAGAAGAAAATAAAGAAAATCAAGGAAAACTTTGTCTATTAATATGAGGGGACTTCAAAAATTATTCAAAAATGGAATTGATATGGAATTATAACTTTATGACTCATGCTCTTACTTCATTGATTCCGCCTGGAAAATATTATAACTTGGGAAAAAACTATTCCCAATTTTATGATAACATCCTTTTAAGAAACGCAGTACTGTCGATAACAAATTGTATAGTTATGATAACAGTTAGATAACAGTAATAAAAATTGTTTGGGTTTCGGTGATTCAAATCGCCTGTTACCTAGGTAGCAAAACTATACGTTCTTTCTTAATCTTAAATTTTACGATCTGCTCTCGACTTTTATTCGGCAATAAAATGTACATTTTAAATAAAGCCACTTAGTGAGAAATTTTTGTTTAACACCTACAATGGTTAGCCTTTTTTGGGAGGGGCAGATGGCCAAGTAACTTACTCGAAGGAAGCCATTGAGAGCTCCTTTTCAAAATCACAGGCTGGGGTAGTTACTGGCGTAGCAGTGGCAGGTGCTGCAACCCAAAATAATTTTCCTGATCCAATCCAGATAATAATACACGTTGGCGTGGCTGTCCGGTTGGCCGACGGCGCAGGGATAGCCCCAGTTGACCAGGCCATAGAGGATTCCTTCGAAGGTTAGTGGACCGCCGGAGTCGCCGTGGCAAGCTCCCTGTCCTCCGGTTGTTAGGGTGCAAACGTGGCAGGGTCCGTTCATCGGATCGTTGTTCATTATCGCCTGGCAGGTTGGGTAGTCCACATGCGTGAGATAGGCCTTCTGCAGCACATCGGGTGTATCGCCCCACAGTTCCGTGGATCCCCAGCCCGTCAAGAGCAACTGGGAACCATTGGCCAGCGGAGCAGTGGGCAGCTGCGCGGGTTGAGTGTACTCATTGAACTTGATCGTATCGTTCAGCCGGATCACAGCAATATCGTTGTAGTACGAAGGACTATTGTAGTTGCAGTGTATCCAATGCTCCTCCACAAAGTACAGTGCATCCGGCTGGGCCCAACGCACAGTTCCCGTGGCCACTCTTAGGTAAGTTGGGTTATAACCATAGACACAGTGGGCCGCCGTCAGGACATGTCGTTCGTCGATAATACATCCACCGCAGAGATGACCGCCGTACATTCCCTGCAGCGATATCTGGTACTTGGCCTCGCCCAATTCCGCATCCTCGCCATCGATCACGCGATTCTGGAAGTTAAGGCCTCCCGACTTGGAAATCCACGCCAGCTGCTCATCACTAAGTTGCGCCGATCGAATGGCATTACTTGGATTATATCCACTGCAGACCAGAAGGATCACAAGGATGCCGAAAAGACCCGGTTGAACCACCATTATCGTGAGTGCTCGACTTTCAATGCGCCAATTAAACCTGCATATGGGTCGTGATTTTGCTTTTATACTCGAACAAATCGGTGTTTTATCGTAAGTCTTTGGGTTTTATCGTAAATCGGAATCGATGTTCAAACAAGTTGTATCTATGCCATAAAGTCGAGAATCGTATAAAGATATAGACGCACACTGATTATGATTTTGTGATGGGGCAATCAATGTCAGCGCCGTCATGGGATAAGAATATTACCTGGAAATGGTCATTCCCTGGACATTGGCATTGGATCTTATCAAAAGCGAGGGCTAAACCTTTTAGTTAAATTGATACAAATTTCTTATATATATTTATTATATATATTTTTTTAGGAAAAAATGGAATCAAATCCAATGTTTGCCTAAATACATATGTGGCCGGTTTTGTAAGGCGCAATAATTAACCCATTCAGTCCATTATTCCAAAAATTAAATTCGACAAAGATTAGCAAAAATAATATCTAAATATTAAAATGTTAAAAAGAACACTTTTTACTTAATACAAACTGTTACAGTACTGACAAGTTTCCATTTTAAATTTCATCAGCCCCAACCCTAGCCATTATACCATTATCTCATATCATAATGTGTTAGCAAACAGAGCCATAAAAACATGGGTAATCACCCATCTAAAAGCAGCTTATGACCAAATGAGTAAGTGTAATGCTATAAGCGTTGTTTTTATCAATAAATATATTTCACATGTCAATACACATTTTAAAAATTCATCTCCTTTGATCTCTTTCAGTTAACACGATTTTTGCATCCCGTGCGAGTTCTTCTGATCCATTCCTGGTAGTATATAGTGTTGGCATACCTAAAATGGATAAGGAAATGGATTAGTTCTTTTTAAAGAGTTAGAGAACTCGAACTTACATATCTGGCATGCCCACGCCGCAGGCTCTTCCCCAGTTGACCAGACCCACAAGCTTGCCCTCCCACATAAGAGGACCTCCCGAATCCCCGGAGCAGGCTCCCTCGCCTTCCCGCGTAAAGGTGCAGATGTGACCGATGTCGATGCCGTTGTGGTAGTCCCACCTCTCCCGGCACTCCTCGTGGGCTATGATGGTCAGGTTGATGGTCTGCAAATGCTGCACCGTCGGAAAACTACTTTCCGGAGCACCCCATCCGGTCAAGGTGACAATGGAACCCGCCGGCGGTTGCTCCCTACTCAGCTCAACGATCTGGGTGCGATCATTGAATACAATCGATTCGTTGACATGGATCAATGCTATGTCATTGTTATAGACGTAGGGCACATCGTACAGACAGTGGACCAGAGCCTCATCCGGAAATAGAGTTTGTCCCGGAACC